CCCTGTTTTGTTTTTTTTTGCTCATAAGCAGAGAATGCTTGCTAGCGCTGTCCTTAGAACAGGGGTCTGCAAACTTTAACACCCAAAGAGCCATTTGGACCCGGTTTCCACGCAAAGAAAACACTGGGAGGCACAAATACTTTTTTGACATCTAAAATGAAGATAACACTGTATATATTGTTGTAGCCCGGATGGGAATTTGGGAGTAGATACTCGTAATTCCCATGGACTTAAACGCCACAGTAACATAAGGTGTTCACAGTTAATATTATGTGATTTAACTGTACTCTGAATGTAATTTGCCCTGTAATATGTCACAAGGTAAATACAGGTAATTAGAGCAATGAACCTGTTATGTTAATCATAAAGTATTATTTTATGGTATGTAACTCTGAAGAGAGTTAAAGTATTGTTCAGAGTTCTAATTTTCTGGAGGCCCGTGAAGGTAGCATGAAACGGGACCTGTGTATCTGTTGTAATGGAGGAAGAGAGGAGAACGGCATAGAGAGATGCACGAGGTTAGCTGAACCAAGTGAGAGACTCAGCTAGTTTTACTGAAGTTACCTAGCACAAAAGAGTGTCGGACTAGAAAGCTAACCGTGTGAGAGCTTCGCAACAGAGTGTGGGGGAAGTGACGTTGTGTTCAATGGTCGCACCACCGTGAAAAAACTGTTTCCAGCTACGACCGCCGAGGCTAAAGGCTAGCCCGGACTGCCTGGCTGCGCCACGGAGGCAGCCGCTATGGACTGTCGGAGAGCTGGACAGTGACTGGCTAACGCGTTGTAGCAGAGACAGCATCCGGTCCGCAGGGAGAGCGGAGAGTGAATTTAGTTTGGGACTGGCGAACGGAAACCTACCGAGCAACTGAACTGTAAGTTGGACTTTCGTGCTCTTACTGGGAGAAGAGGATTTTTCTCCATCGTCCGGCGTGAGCAGCAAACAGGCCTGCAACAAGTGTGAATGTGAGTGTGTGTGGGGCCCATGTGTGAATATTGTGTATCTAGTGGATTATATAGCATATTTTTGAGTGTACATTCGTGAGTCACTTACCAAGAGGTGATAACATAATTTGTGTTGTTTAACATAATTTCAAAGGGAAATATTTCATTTACACAGCATGTTTCATTTGTTTATGGAGCTGGATATCATTTGAGTTGAGTTAAGAAAAGGGTGTTTTATACATTACTTTTTCCTGCCCTTACATTCATTAAATGTTTGGTTTGTGTTAAAGAGTTGTTTGGGGTTGATTATTTTACTACTGGTTAAGTCTAACTTGCAGGCAAAGGTTTACTGATAGTTTCCCTGATTCCTGTCTATACCAGAACCATTTGTTGGTATCTAGGCTGTAACGAACCTAACACCCCGCCTAGGGGGTCCAAACTGAGGTAAGTGGATTTAGACTCCGTATCACGGGTGGGGTGCTACATTGTTTTTTACTTTTTATGCTTTGTGTGAACAACTAAGGTGTGCTGCTTTTGAAATCCATGAAGTGCTACAGAGAAAATTACATTTTATTTATGTAATTAACACATTTTGAACTCTTAAAGAGATATAACAAAAGGAAAGATGCTGAACTAAAATGATCCAGCAAACAAAACTGTTGTGAGCCGCCACCCTTATATCGCCTTTGGGCTGTTGGAGCCTTGACCTGACTTTTAAAAAATAATTGGAACAAAAACACTATGCTGCTAAAAGATGAATAATATATTATTATATATAATAGATAATAATAATAATATATTATTATTCATAATAGAATTTTTAAATATATATTTTACCAGGGTTTAGTGTGTCTGGCGGAGCGCAGTCTGCAGCGTCGCTGTAGGGGAGGCGGACGCACCTGAGCAGCACCAGCAATCACGCCTCGCCGCCTTAACGTCTGTGCTCTCTCTGCTGTTGTGTTGGTGTGTGTCGGGCTGTGAGCTGAAAAGCTACAGCCGGCTGTATGCGTACAGCAACCGTGTGTGAAAAGTGGTCAATAAAGAGATGCTGAAAAGCGAGTTCATGCAAACATCGTCGGGTCTGCCGTGATATGTTTACAACGGGACTTCTGGTCCTGAACCTCTGCGCACAGCGTCTGCAGATCGGGGCTGTACGAAGTCACTTTCATCTTCACGCAGAACTGTAAGCTGTGAGATGTGAGTGGTGTTTGTTTTTAACATAGTTCACGGTGGAGAATAGCTGCTGACATAATGTGGATCCGAAGATCCATATTTGGCCTACCTAGGGTCGAAAGTCTCGATAAATGCACAGCGTTTCGGCAGGTATACCGGCTTCTGCGAGTGTGACGCTTATTTTGAGCGATGAAAAAATAATATATAATTTTATTTTTCTATTTCAATATCACAATAATCTTCCAATTTAGAACTACAGGTTAAAAAAGAACTAACATAAATAAATTACACTTCAGCTAAATACTTCTAATTTATTTTCCCAAACCACGCAGAGCCGCAGGTTCTGAGGACTAAAGAGCCGCATGTTGCCGACAGTAAACGTGACGAAATTATTGAGGAAAAAACGCAGCGTATTGTTTATCATGGCTCTGGTTTTACGTGGCCTATCAACACAGTTTACAAACTGGTATATATCACCTTGTTGCTTTGTCTTTAAGTGGTCATGTGATTGACTTACCACGACTACTTTATTCTTCCTCAGTCAAACAGCAGCACTCACGCGATTGTTTTGCCCCCCTGAGCTCCAGGTGTTAGATGCTAGTGCTAGACAGTGATCGTGATTACCGTCCGTGGGAGCTCGCAGCTGCTTAAAGCTGTAGCGCCCAGATTACTTACAGCTACTTCCCTGCAACTGATGCGGTAAGCTGAACACAGCTTCAACCGTCTGTTTGTTGAAAAATATTAACGGACCACATTTTCTTGTTAGTAACTGTAACTGCGTTGTAACGATAGGAATAGTAACAGTTAAATTACTAGTTACTGAAAAAAGTCACGCCATTATTCCCATCACTGCATATCAGTCATCTCCAGCTTCTCCTCCTGCACCATCTACAGATTTAACCCCTTCAGTGTATGTCGGGAATTCCCTTTCTCTACATTTCACAGCTCTGATGTTTCGGGTCTCGGTGTGTTTCATGTCTCGGTGTGTCACTCCTCAGACGGAGGTTGTTTCATAATCTTTCTGTGGTTTTATGAAACAATGAAGACAAACTGATTGTGTCACAGTTGTGGGTAGTTTCACACTGCGTTATCAGGCTGCTGAGGATGTTTGTCTGAGTGTTTGTGTTATCAATCATTGCTGCTGCAGTGTGGTGCTGATGCAGGCCTCACACCGTCACAGGAAGGAGGAAGTGAAACTGACACAGACGGTAAAACCTTCTTGTTACAGCGTTTCTCTCGTCTGCTGGGGATGAAGAATCATTACACAACAGTGAGAAGTTATTTTGGATCTGAACAGATGGAAAAGTGTCGCATTGGAGCGATTTCATAATCAATGTGACCTTTTGGCCCATGAGGTCAGCTCATCGTTGCCCCCTGTTGGTGATTGTGTGAACTGAGGTTTCACAGGTCACACAAAAGGCTGGAAGTTTAAATAAGAAGGAATAAACATCGTGAAAGAGAAATGAAATGTTTGCAAAGTGAATTTAAGTCAAATATGAACTAGTTTTTTAAAAAGAAAAAAACCCAGAAGGTCGACCTTGTTTTTTAAGCCAATAATATCACAGCAGTTGTTTGAAATTAGCTGTAGACTGTAGGCATTAAACGGGGAAAAAACCTGCAACTTAAGAAAACAGTCCATTGCAGTCCATTTGGCCTCTCAGGGCCACCGTAGCTGCAGGTTAATATTTATATTTTTAACTTTTTATATTCAGTGTTTTCAGAGACCCTCGCAGCACATAACGAGTTCAGATTTAGTGTTTATTATCTTTTATTTCTTCATCCTTTGCTTGTTTGCCTTTGTTTCCACAGTAAAAAGTGTGCCACTAACTCGACGACCACCTCTTCTTATAAAGTTTTACAGGTTCCAGTTATCATCCAGGTAAGAATTACAGAGAGTCAAGTGCTGTGTCAGTGTGGTTTACTAATAAAGAGAACACGAATTACAAAGTAGAACAGAACTATAAATTAATAAAGCAAAACAAGGCAGCTCCGAATTGGTCTCAGGCACTAGAGGGCAGCACATAGTCAGAAACATCCTTACAGTCAGTGTCCACATTTTAGGTCCACGTGGGCCCTCAAAAAGTATGTTTATTTACTAATTATGCTGCTTGCCCTGTTCAGACTACTTCCTGCCTGCATGTTGGATCCAGAGATTTAGACGTGTTGCTGCCATCAATTCAAAATAAGTTCATATTTTTTTTGAAACAGAACAAAAATCTCAGATTAATAATTTGATATTTTCTATGTTCTACTGTAAGTAAAATTTAAGAGCCTTGCATATCATTGTATCCTGTAGTTTTCTCACTGAGAGAAAACTACACAACAGTGGGATTGAAAACAAATTTTAGTTTTGAATAAATAACCTGCTTTGACACCTAACCTGTACTGACCTCTTAAATAAAGCCCCTGCATCATGCTCCATGGTGTTTATCTATTTCATTTTGCAGCTGTGACAAAGATGGACGAGGCAGGTAAACACTACTCAGATGTGATGCCATGTGTGAAATTTAAGAAAATTAAATTATAAAACCATCACAATTACAACACAGAGTTCAGTGCAGGTTGGAACTGTCCACCTGTGTCAACATAAAACATCAAGTTAGCTAAACTACAGCCACATCTTAAAGATGTAAAAAGGTTATGATGGTTTGGACGTGTGCAGAGGAGGGAGAGTGTATATACTGGGCAAAGGGTGGTGAAGATGTATGGAACGCCAGGACTGCCATAATGAATTAATTAAATACACCATTAAATAGTTAATTAAATGTGGCAATAATTAATTATTTAAATGTGGCATAAATATTTATGTAATTAATTATTTCTGATTTTAATTCATTATTGCCACATTTAAGTAATTATTTAATGGTGTATTTAATTAATTCATTATGGCAGTCCTGGCGTTCCATGAAGATGGAGCTGCAGGCAGGAGGAGAATAGAAATACAACAGAGGGTTGGTTAGAAGGAGGAGGATGCTGGGATGGAGGCTGACGAGTCACTATGGAGACCAGTAAAGGGAACATCCAAAAGAAAAGGAATTCACAGAAAACTGAGGTTACTGTAAAAATCTCAGAAACATGATGCACAGCCAGATATTTCCTCTGGATGGCAGAGTAACGCTGGTTTCTTGTTCTGTTTTTCATTTATAAAGCAGCCGCTCTGCTGTAACACTCAGTGTAGCCAGTAGATGGCAGCAGATTTTAAAAAAAAAACCTTTTCAGTGGCGACCACGTGGTGACAGAAGCCGGGTTTTCTCCTCTTTTACTGGTAATTGTAACATTTTAATTAGGCTTTTTTGCTGTTTTTGTTTAGAACAAACAAATACAAAAAGGAGAAAAAATTAGTTTTTACTCATGAAAACATTTCAGCTGCTACCAGAAACTGACAACTTTTAAATCTGTTGTTTTTTTCATGTCAGCTGCTTTATGGTTTGTTTCTCGTAGACTAAGGAAGTATGACTTGTTTGAGTCGAATTAACAGAGAAATGAAAGTGAAACATGTAAAAATCTCTGAAATCTGTGGATGTCCTCTGCTCTGAGGTGCTGGGAGGACCAGTTAGAGACCAGCAGCTGGACGTCAGTGGTTGGACTGGTGGACTACTTCAGTGAAGAGTAGATGATGTCTGGCTCTGGTTTAAAGTCTGAACACAAACACAGTTCAAACAACAGGAAACATGATTACAAGCTTTGCAGTTCAATAAAGACCTCCAACCTCTCTGCATCACACACAGTCCCAGTTCAGACTTTACTGGGAACCAGTTCAGATACAAATCACACTTTAGGTGCCTGTTTGGTTCACAGAACTGAGCCTGGAGCCCACAGAGCTGCAACAATTTGTTAAGCAAGTGCATTAAGTCACATTTTAAAGATGAATGATTTGCTGCTTCCAGCTTCGCTCTCATATTTAAGCAAAGTTTCCGTCTTATTATTAGAGAATTTTATTTTTTTGTGAAAATGACGCCACATATTATGACTTTGTATCGACGGCTTCCCATCAGGATGCACAAAGAGGGTGAGAGTATGACCTCAGACCTCTACAGCTGTGCTGAGCACCCTGCTCCATACTTTCTTCCCCTCCCAGCAACACATTCATCAGATTTGCAGTTGACTCACGGTGGTCGGTGTCATTTCTGGGGAAATGAGTCTACCCAGCGACTGTCTCAGTGGTTTAAAGACAACAACTTGGTCCCCAAAATGTCCAGGACACGAGACAGGACCATGGACTTCACTGTGATTAAGCACGTAATTATCAGCAGGAACTGTTATATCAGGAAAAGGTCACAGACATCCAGTTTCTGGGATTTTACAACAACAAGAGCCTGAACGTGTGGTTAAGAAGGCAAAGCAGAGATTTAACTTCTGCAGGGTCCTCATGAAGAATATTATCCCCTGAGACTCTTTATTTTTTCTTTTGTTCTTTCTTTTCAGATTGCTTAGAACTCTGGCTTCTAGCAGGTGCTAAAAACAGAATAATAATAATAATAATAATAATAAACAGTACCAGGGACTTCCACCAAATGAAAACCCCAAGTCGAGGTGACCTGAGTAGGTCCAAGTGTATAAGGGCTCTTGGTGTCCTTCTACCCTTTTTATTCCCGTGCTAGGCATGTGCTTCATGGGGCTGTGCAATTTGGATAACTTGTGAGTTTATAGGTGTTTTTCTTTGTAAACTTCTTCAGTAGTTGTCATGACTGTTGTGATGGATCATTGCACAGTTGAGTGGTGGAGTACTTTAATGACTGATGGGGGTTTCACAGTTTTTTTCTCCTCTTAACACCTGTGCTGTCAACCAATGACTGATCGGATAGAACTATGAAGTGTTTCTGAGAAAAACAAAGGTGCCATCAACCGAGCTGCAAACTTTGCTCAAGACTTTACCGCAGAGATTGTTTGACAAGCTGAAAACACGTAAGTCAGACTTTACTGGAAACCATCTCAGCAACAAGTTACAGCACTTCCACGCTCCACAAAGTTTAGCTGTGAGACATCGATGAAATAAACAAAACTCAAACCTTTAACCCACAGAGCTCATCAGCTTAAGTCTCTCTTCTCTCCACCTCAACAGGCTGAGCTGTGAGACTTCGTGGCTCAAGAGTTGGGAGTTCGTCTTGTAATCAGAAGGTTGCTGGTTCGAGCCCCAGCTTGGACAGTCTCGGTCGTTGTGTCCTTGGGCAAGACACTTCACCCGTTGCCTACTGGTGGTAGTCAGAGGCCAGTCTCTGGCAGCCTCGCCTCTGTCAGTGCGCCCCAGGGCAGCTGTGGCTACAATGTAGCTTGGCATCACCAGTGTGTGAATGGGTGGATGACTGGATGTGTAAAGCGTTATACAAATACAGGCCATTTACTTAAAAAACAGGAACCACCAGCAGACTCTGAAACCTGTCTGTGCAGCTTTGGACACAGTTTACAATATTTTAATCTGCCTTGGTGCAGTACCTCAGTTCATCCTCACTGTGAAAGAAGCAGATTTAGTTACGCACAAACTTCTTATTAGAGTTTATCTCCAAACATTGTTTTCAGAGCTCAGTTACTATGAACACGGAGGTAGGAGCTCCACCAGGTCATGAGATCACATGGAGTCATCTTCCTCCTGATCCCAAGGTTTTATCCCCTGTCCAGCACCCTGGCACAGACGTGTCCAGGACAGCTCCAGGGGAACATTAGCACTCTAATGTTTAGCTCTAAAAAATACCTGACTGCAGAAGTGAAGAAGAGCAGCTTTACCTCTCATGTCTGATCGCTTTTTCTTCTCTTTGATGATTTTTCCATAAGTGACGTCTTCAGTTCTCCCTGCAGCTGCATCTGTCTCTGCACAGTAAAACACACACAGTCACACTGTCACTGCAGACAGAACAGCTGACACATTACAGCTATGACAAAACATGTTACAGATAATAGTCAGACACACACTGTGTGTGTTTCTGTGACTGCCACACACCTGGTATCTTTGGATCAATAACTTGCTGTCAACACCCACAGTGGGTCAGAGTGGGCCGACACAGCCCTGCAGCTCAACACTGGATCCTCACAGAGCTGTGTGCTGAGCCCCTGCTCTATAATCTGATGAACCCTGATGACACCACAGTGTCCAGGACAAACGACCTGATCACCGACCACGAGGAGAGGGTCAGGACTGCAAGTTTACTTCAGGCAGAAATGACCCAGGGTCTAAACACGGATTGGGTAAAGACATCACAGCAGAGACTTTCCTGAGGGTCCTCAGGAAGATCCCCATACCATGGCTCCACATGTTAGTGTATTGCTTCTGTGTGGTTTTGCTGTTGCACAGAAAAAGGAGCTCCACAGGGTTACTGGATGGCTTCTCCCAACTCTGGAGGACCTACATAGTTCCTGCTGCCTCAAAAGGCTAATATCATCATCATGGCTTCTTTGGACTGTGCTCATGTTTGAACTGTTACCATCAGACAGACAGAACCGAACGATTAAAACAAGGACAAACAGACTGGAAAACAGTTTTATTGCAGAGCTGTGTCACCAGTCAGTGCTGACATGAATGAGCTCTGTGCACTAAGGAGCTGTGCAGTTTGGGAGAACGTAGAAAGGTTGCTTTAGTCTTTGTTCATTAGTTTTTATCCATTATATAGTTTACAGTTTTTAAATAGTTTCCATGATGCTGAGGCTGCACTTGTGTGCGAGGAGGGTGGGGGAGTATTTAGGGTTTCACTGTTTTTTTCTGCTCTCTGCACCTCTGCTGTGAACCACAAACACCTTCTTGCACTTTTATTAACTGAAGCAGTTTGTGCTGCAGCTGGTATCAGACTAATGCTGGGCTCCAGACACTTCACAGCCAAAGAGACAAAAATAAAGGAGTTATTTTGGTTCTTAGAGCCGTTCAGGTATCAGTAGCAAACAGCACAATACTGACTTATTTGTCCTCATAAAACACTTTAATGAATAGAGCCTGGTCACTGCTCTGTGTTTGGATTATTTAGCGAGTCACAAACACACAGCAGTGACAGGACAGATTTAAAGTTTACACTTTTACTGCTGTTTTCAGTGCTGCCATCTTGGATTACTAACTCAGGGGAAGTTGGTGCTCCAACTTTCCAAGTGGGAAATTTAAGTTGAGCTTCACAGAAAATCTGAAAATCACAGAAAATGTTCCACAGAAAATCTGATTGGGAATAATTCACAGTTCAGAATCCTTCAATCCAACATTGGGCCTTGGTGCAGCAAGAGTCCATCCTCGTGTGAAAGAAGCAGCTTTAGTAATGTGGAAACTTCTCATCATTAAATATTTTGTGTTCAGACAAAGAAGAAGATGTTTGATCACTGCAGCGCTTACTGTGTGTAAACAGTATTTGTAATGAAGCATCGCACACACGGTAAGTGGGGATTTTTTATAAACTGCTCGTCACAGTTTCTCCTCTCAGCACCTTCGCTGTGAGCCAATCAGTGAAAGGATAGATTTGTGAGGTGTCTGTGTTAAAAGCAAAGCCGCCATCTTCTCTCAGTGCAGACAGACACACTAAACACAAGCAAGAAAGCCGACATGTTCTCATCAGTGTTGTCAGACTCGTACCATAACACCTTTAAAATAAACCAGGGTTCACACAGTGCTGTTCATATACAAAAAGCATGAACAGAAAATGAAGTCAATCAGGTTCAAAATAGAGAATTAGAAAAAAATTACAGTCAACCTCTTAAAAAAGTGTGAAAGTTTTAAACTCAGAAAGAGACGAGGCCTAACGTGGAAGGGCAGATCATTGCACAACTCTGGGGCAGCTACAGTCTCCTCTAAATCTATGCTTAGTTTTTGTCAACTTAAAGAGCTGCTTATAGGTGGCTCCAAACGAGCAGGCAGATATACATGGCTGCAGTTTCAGACTGAGAGCAGCCAACAACAGGAAGATTCTGTTGTGGTTTGCAAAAACTAAAATACAATGTTGTAAAATTGAATTAAAGGACAGTGTGGCTGAAAACACTCTTTGGTCTGTTTGGCCTTATTTATAGGACTCATATTGACAACTAAGTCATCCTTTTAACAACCTGTGTGTGAGCTGCAGCTGAAGTTGTGCGACCTCTGAAGCACACTCAAACACAGAAGGATAAAAACCACGTGAACATCATCAGGACATTTTTATGTAGAAGTGAAGAAGAGCAGCTTTACCTCTCGTCTGTGATCGTTTGTTCTTGTCTGTGATGATTTTTCCATAAGTGACGTCTTCAGTTCTCACTGCTGAGTAAACTGCAGCTGGATCAGCGTCTGCACAGTAAAACACACAGAGGACGTCACTGCAGACAGAACAGCTGAGAACAGACATGAAACTGCTGCCACTCACAAATCTTTATATGAAAACACTCAGAGTGTTTTCAGTTACTGCTCAGGTTATTCTACAAGTTTAAAATAGTTCAACATGAATTAAAATGTGAGGTAAAGAGACCTGATAAAGGACGAACTGAATGCCAGACATGTCAGCTGATCAGAATAACAGGACGCCAGACAAACTGTTAAATTATTGACTTTATAAAAGATAAATTCAGAATTTAGATAGTGAGCCAGAAGGAATTTAAGATGCTGGTGTCATAAATATGAAAGAGTAAATCTTAAAAGGAAAACCGTGAACAATATTGCAGGAAATTAGTTTACAATAATAGAAAATTTACAATAATAATTAAGTCTTTCATATTTTGTGAATATGATAACAGTGTCTGACCTGTGTGAGTTTACAGAAATACTCTTACAAATAACTCACGTGTTTCTTCCTCTATTTAACATTCACACCTCTGTGTTGAAACACCTGCAGATGAAGCTCTTATCGTTTCTTTCTCAGAAACAGTGGCAGACTCGTTAGTGTTAACCACAGACGACAAACACACCGTTCAGCAAACACAGAACTTAACATGGTGTGAAAATCTACAGACAGACTGATATTCATTTGCTGTGCATGAGGTGATTGTTGTTATAACTGACCTGTTTAAATGTTATTGAGGCTTAAAGTTTGCATAATTAGGGGCGTGGCCCAAGGGTGTAGATTTGGTTTTGGCATTGGTGAGGATGGATGATTCAACCAATGAAACCTTCCCTGTTTCTTTTTTCCCCCCTTTTGTCTTTGCTTCTTGATAAAAAAAAGGAGAAATAAACTTGCCTACATGTGCTATTCTACATGCTTTTAAACCGTTTAAAATTACAATTTTATATGTGAATTATATAATGTTAAAATACTATTAAACACATGACTAAGTATTTTAGGCTTTAGTTTACTTCAGCCATATAACATATAGATCAGGTACACCTACCATAGAACCAAGGCCGCCAGAGCTCATCTTTATATTTTTACATGCTGCAGTGCCATTTTTGGGAGCATTTCAAGTTGCTATACATCAATACAACCGTTATAGCCCAAATTTTAATAATATGTCTGCATTAAGTCCATAGTAACGACATAAATTGCAAAAAGTGCAATAAACTACAAAGAAATTGAAAATCATTTTTGGTTTTTTTTAACATATATTTCTACTTGGAGAAATTTAACCCTGGAGAAACCATGGGGTCAACCCCATGGTTTCTCCAGGGTTAAGAGGTTTATCCCTCAAAACTTTAAATACAAAAAAGTTGCAAAACATAGTTTACAACAACAGGAAATTTATTTTGAGTGTCTTCATAGTTTTATTTTTGAGATACACCAATTTTTATATACTGCAGGAAAAACGAAAAACAATCTTATGATGCAAATTTGCAAAGAAAGCAGCAGGTTCATCAAAATAAAATATTTCCAGCAGTGCAATTTGAGTTCTAAGCATCCCAGAAACTATTCAGAAAGTCAAACATGACTTATAAAAACACCAGTGTAGGCTTTTAAGGCCTACAAGTAAAAAGTACATTTTCCGCAAAAATGACGTTACTCATGACTACCTCATGATATTTTGTCTCAAAAATTAACCCTATGAATATGTCAGTACCATTGGGGTGAAATTATTGTGTCACCAACATATAATTTTAACAGCCTCTGTAAACTACAGTGGTTTGCAAAAGTATTCGGCCCCTTGAACTTTTCCACATTTTGTCACATTACAGCCATAGTTTCTGAAGTCTGGAGAGGCCTCAGAACCATCTCAGGCCACAAACATCAGAACTCACTGCCTGGGAGGGATCTGAGGTGGGCAAATGAACTGAATCATTTCTTCAACAGATTTGATTCAGCCATGAGGCTCCAACATCGGCTGCAGACTCATCCACCCCCACTGCTGCTGTTCCACCTCTGACACCTCAGACACTTCACACCTCCTCTATTCACCCTGCTCACTCCTCAACACCCCCAACAAAAGCATCCAATACACACTCAACACAAGGCTCCAGCCTGTCTCTCTCAACCACCCAGGTTAGGAGGGAACTGAGGAGCCAAGAAGGCAGCGGGCCCAGATGGCATCAGGTTGAGGGTCGTCAGGTCCTGCGCGGACCAACTGTGTGGGGTGATGGAGCGCATCTTCAACCTGAGCCTGAGGCTGGGGAGAGTCCGACAGCTCTGGAAAACTCCTGTGTTGTACCAGTGCCAAAGACTTCACGCCCCAAGGACCTCAACAGCTACAGGTCGGTGGCTCTGACATCCCACCTGATGAAGACCCTGGAGCGGTTGGTCCTGGCTCAGCTTCGGCGCCTAACAAGCTCATCACTGGACCCACTTCAGTTTGCCTACCAGCCTGGCATTGGAGCGGATGATGCCGTCATTCACCTCCTACATCGTTCCTCGCTCACCTGGAGACCGCTGAGAGCACTGTGAGAATCATGTTCTTTGATTTCTCCAGTGCCTTCAACACCATTCTTCCCTCGGTTCTGAAGGACAAGCTGGTGAACTCTGGAGTGGACCATCACCTCACTACCTGGATCCTGGACTACCTCACCGACCGACCACAGTATGTGAGGACTCAGGGCTGTGTGTCGGACAGGGTCGTCTGCAGTACGGGGGCCCCACAGGGAACGGTTCTGGCTCCGTTCCTCTTCACCATCTACACTGCAGACTTCTCCCACAATTCCACCCAGTGCTTCCTGCAGAAGTTCTCTGATGACTCTGCAATAGTCGGCCTCATCACTGATGGGGACGACAAGAAGTACAGAGGACTGACTCAAGACTTTGTGGACTGGTGCCAGCTGAACTACCTCCAGATCAACGCCAACAAAACCAAGGAGCTGGTGGTAGACTTCCACAGGCACAAGCATTCTCCACTGCAACCACTGAACACCTAAGGTATGGACATTGAGGCTGTGGACAGCTACAGGTACCTTGGTGTTCATCTGAACAACAGACTGGACTGGACTCATAACTCAGACGCCCTCTACAGGAAAGGGCAGAGCAGGCTGTACCTGCAGCTCAGGTCGTTTGGAGTGGAGGGCCCACTGCTGAAGACCTTCTATGACTCTGTGGTGGCTTCTGCTATCTTTTATGGTGTGGTCTGCTGGGGCGGCAGCATCTCTGCCGGGGACAGGAAGAGACTGAACAGGGTGATCCGAAGGGCCAGCTCTGTCCTAGGATGCCCTCTGGACCCAGTGGAGGTGGTGAGTGACTGGAGAATGGCGGCTAAGCTGTCATCACTGTTGGACAACATCTCCCACCCATGCAGCAGACTGTGACAGCACTGAGCAGCTCCTTCAGTGGGAGACTGCGGCACCCACGGTGTGGGACGGAGAGATTTCGCAGCTCTTTCCTCCCCACTGCTGTCAGACTCCACAACAAAGACTTTTGCAGCTGATCAAACCCTTACATGTGCAATAAGACTGCTATATGTGCAATTCTTGTACAATTCTCTTCTGACAAAGTTGTACTTTTGTATTTCTTACTCAGTTGTATATAGTATTTCTATTTTATTCTATTGTATATAGTATTTTATTTTATTTTATTGCATTCCAGTATTTTCTAATTTCTGCTACATAACTTTGCACTTTTGCTGTAACAAAACAAATTTCCCACCTGTGGGACTAATAAAGGTCATCTTATCTTATCTTATCTTATCTTCTTTGAAAAATACTTTCTTATATCCAGGTTCTTCCTTTTTGCTGCCATCCTCCTCTCCTCCTTGCAGGTCTTCTCAGTGCAGGTTTGTCGCTGCTAAAACTAAACAGAGCTCCCTGAGAGGCACAGCCAATCACATTGGCCATATTTGTCACATGATGTAGTACTCCAGTAGAGGACGTAATTTAACTCTTTCTGCACCGCTGGGTGAATGAGACGCTGACAGATCGATTTTTTTTCTTTCTATGGGTTTTGTTTTTCTTTACTTGAAGAGATCAAATTACCATCCATGCCAAATCCAAGCCCTTGGTGTGGCCTATTTGTCTGTTGGAGTCCCTGAACTGCACCTCTGCTGAGTGGAATTCTAGGATCTTATTTTGATGTTACTGAGCTCTAATTAGCATCTATCAGTCCCTTTCTGTTTGTCTCATACAGTCTATGGAGAAGCTTGATAACCAAGCTAGCTAACATTAGCTGATAGCTGATAAATAGAGTCTCTCCTGGCTATAAAAGCTAACATGATGCTGCTAAAAAATGTTAACTTTTAGTTTCTGAAACCAGTATATGAAGTCATGGTGCTCTTTTCCATCTTTGATATACAGTCTTGTAAGTTCACTGACCAACATGTTTACTACAATTACATGTTACAGAAACTGTCACTCAAACAGCATCAATATTGGTTCTTAGTGTTGTAGTTTTCCACTCAGCATTTCTCTGAACTCTTCCAAAATATCAAAATTTCAAGTGATACCGTTTTATAAACACAGTTTTCTCCACACTGGAAACCCACATCCCCACCAAACGTCCCTCATTATTACCTCTGCTGTGTTTCACAGGCTGCTGTCTGCGATGTGATATTTTGACATCACTGTATGTGACATCATCTCGTGCAGCTTTGCCTTGATCTGCTGAAATTTAACAGTAATACCATTGTATGAGAAACTAAATGTTACTTGCACAGAAACACAATATAAACACTAAAATGTAATCATAATAAATGTTTAGATTAATCAACAAATCAAATTCCTCGCATGAAAGATCAGAAAGTCTCACCTTCAGGTTTTCTGTGATTACATTGTCTCACCAGCAGAACCAGTAACACCAGTAGCACCAAAACGCACACTGATCCAACAGAGATTAACACATGAAGAAGAACAGAAGAACCAGGGCGAGTAGCTGATGTAGGGATAGAAGTGGATGTAGATACAGGTGTGGGAGTAGATGGAGATTTGTTTGTAGGTTTCCCTGAAATAAACAACATGTAATCATTAGTTTATTGTGAATGTTGAAAGCTGCAGAAACACAGAAAGGTGAGTGTGTCACCTGTGACAGTGATCCAGCTGGATGGAGACTCTCCATGACCGCTGATGTCACACTTGTAGAGGCCTTCATCAGACCTGGAAACATGCTGGATGGTCATGTGACCTGTTGACTCATTCCCAATGAAGATGCTATCTTTATAGAAAGCAGCTGGGAGGTTGGAGGGAGTGGTCTTTGTTTTACAGAGCAGAGTGACGTCATCTCCCTCCATCACAGGGAGGACAGAACTCTGCAGGATCACTGATCCACCTCAACACAGAGACAAACTACAGCATTTCATCCATTTACACACAGCTTCATCAACACTAACTCCACACACTCAGCTTACCAGGGACTGTCAGGTTAACCATGTTACTGATGGGACCCTCTCTGGACTCACACCAGTAAACTCCACTGTCATGAGGCATCATCAAAGTGATGTTACAGGAAGAACCAGCTGGTTTTCCCCACCCATCTCCACACTGAGTCCTCTGTCGTTTGCTTGTGTTTCTCCTCAGAGTCCATCCAGCAGAGCTGTCGTCCTCCTCACAGCTCAGAGACACAAAGTCATATTCAAAGAACTGAGAGCTGCTGGGACTCACAGTCAGACGAGCTGTGAGGGTTAAATTTGAAAACTGATGATCACGTCTTTGAGATCTTTACTGAAAGTTTTAATCCAAATGTGTAAAACTTGTCAGAGTTTATCAGGTTCAAACTGTGACAGAAGAAGGTTACTGACCTTGGTTTGTTGTGCAGCTCAGCAGTGAGATCAGAACTAAAGAGAAACAACACTCAGGTTGATTCGACATAAACACACAAAGGTGATCACTCAGAACAACTTTGTATTATTTGATGTTTCCCTCTAAGACAGAAACATCAACTCTTCATGTTGTGTCACCTACAGCCCAGTTTGATCTTCCTGTCAGAGGAAACGTGGATCTAAACCAGGTCAGCAAAAAGCTGCTCGTACTAAACCAGAGACTCCAGGATTTCAATTTCAACTTCTCGATGATCAGAATTATTAAATAAAACTGATCACATCATTTCATGCTTCATGAGCTGCTTCTGGAGTTACTGTAGAACAAGGAAGTCCTTCAAGTTACATTATAGTTACACTGAATACATACAAACTATAACTGAACTAAGGTCTGTCCTCTGCTCTGTTCATACAAACACCAACATTTTATTTCAGCTTTTCACTCATAAATTCATCAGTAACTCTGTTAAACTTCAGACCTGCAGTTGGTCCTCGTGGTGTTTGAACTTGAATTCAGCCTGATTTGTTTTTCATGTCTTCTCCTCCATCATCAGTTATCAGGAGAGCAGACAGTCAAAGTAGAAGAATTCAAACAAACACAGAGATTCTACTTACAGAGCAGACACAGCACAGATGTTTCCTTCATCGTCCTTCTCACTCATTTGAGCTTTTTTTCATTTCTGTCACTGACACCAAGTAAAGCCCGCCCTCTTCCTCTGAGTCTTTCTATATTTGTACAAACACAACGTTTACAGAGCGTGTGTCTTTGAGATTCATGCATTAAAGCTATTTTAAAAGGCTACAACCAGTTACAATATTGAATCCAACGTTTAATGATTCAATTCAGTTTTATTTATCTAGGGTCAAATCCCAACAACAGTCACAAACCCAGATAATACAGAGAAAACCCAACAATTGGACAATCGTATTTGATCAGGAACTTAGATTAATAATAATGAATAATTAAAATGTGGTTTAAGGTTTATAAACACTTAGTGTCTGGAAAGGAAAATCTCGATGCATCATGGGAATCCGTGGCAGCCTACATCTATTGCAGCATAACTAAGGGAGGATTCAGGGTCACCTGGTCCAGCCCTAACTATATGCTTTAGCAAAAAGGAAAGTTTTAAGCCTAATCTTAAAAGTAGAGATAGTGTCTGTCTCCCGAATCCAAACTGGAAGCTGGTTCCACAGAAGAGGGGCCTGAAAACTGAAGGCTCTGCCTCCCATTCTACTTTTAAATACTCTAGGAACAACAAGTAGGCCTGCAGAGCGAGAGCGAAGTGCTCTAATAGGGTGATATGGTACTACAAGGTCATTGAGATAAGATGGGGCCTGATTATTTAAGACCTTGTATGTGAGGAGCAGGATTTGAATTCAATTCTGGATTCAATTCTAGTCTCTCTCAGAGAACTGACAGGGACTATTATTTAATACAGTTTTTCTGATGGCTTGAGCACATTTTTTTTAACTATTGGCTATTTTTGCAAAACTCTACACACAAATAAGAAAACTCTTCACCAAATCAGCAAAACATTGTGGTTTTCTTGTAAAAGCTAATAAACCTGCTTAACTCTCCAAACCTTTGTAAAAATGGTATTTTTGTATCAAACAGTTAATACAAGCTATCACATTAATAAGCACACGAAGCACCAACTACACACTGATGGTATGAATAAAAACCACATCTGGCTTTTGCTTTCTCTGTGCACAAGGTAGGCCATGTCAGTTTGAGGTCATACTTTTGTCGTAGGTCCGTAAACATAGAGGGATCCAAACTTCAAGTGCTGGTGTTTATTCACACACATCAAAACAAACACAAGTGTTTATTTCCAAGTTAAAACAAAATAGTAATTTCACTGAGGAAAAAAAGAAATCAGTCTACATCGCGTCGTCTCTCTGCGTCCGGCCACAAAATTTTGCATACATCACATGCAATGTCCTCTAGTCCAAGGCAAAAATATCTTCTGGAATGGCGTATCCAGGCCTGACATGATGCCTGGTCAATATCCCCACATGCCTCTTCCACTGCCTGTAAAAGGGCTTTGCGTTGATGGGGATGATGGTCATAGACCTTCCAGCGCCAGGCAGAGAAGAACTCTTCAATTGGATTCAAGAATGGAGAGTATGGGTGGAGGTTGAGTACAGTGAGGGGTGGGTGATCTGTAAACCAGTTGCGGACCAAAGCAGCCCTATGGAAACTAACATTGTCCCATATGATGACGTATCTGGTCTGCTCTGGTCTCTGAACAGTAGTGAGCATGTCATGTAAGGTGTCCAGGAATGTAATAGTGCGTGCAGTGTTATATGGGCCCAGAGTTGCATTATGGTGAACAACACTGTTGAAGCTGATAGTTTTTATATTGTCATTTGTGCTTTGAAACATATAATCATTTGTATGCTGATAAAAATCATATCCTTATTAGGTCTGTTAAAAGTCTGTGTGCACTTGTGTACCATGAGATGAGAGGAAGCAGCGTTGACGTTATAATTTCCATTATAGCTTTAGGAACTAGACTTTGCTCTTCCTAAAAGTGCATGACTTCACACCTTTAAGTGTTCGTTTGAGAGATGATCTATTCCAAGTTCCTGTTCTTATCATTTAGCGAGACACTTACTTCTGCTTTTCTGCATACCTCATACACGGTACAGTTTAAGTTCATTGAAAGGTCATATGTCTATGTATGGTATAGCTGGAAACACACACACACAGAATACAGACACTGATGTTGTTCAGATGTGCCTGCTCAAGAATGTCACATGGATTTGTAATTGCATATTCATGAATGATTGCTTGCTGACAATAAAAAGGGCTGTAGCGAAGGAATCAGTCAAAGTTGACTAAGGACAGGTGAAGGCCTGGGCTGACTTCCCTCGCGAGCCACAAAGACAAAGCGCTCTGTCTTGTTTTGTTTTGTCGTGCAGTTTGGGCTTGTGTTCCAGCAGCGTTTGTGCCTCGATAAACCCAACAAACACATTTTGACTTACAGCTGCACACATAGTTCTGTTACCACCACGTTGTCCTGGGACACTGATTATGGCATGGTGTCCAATAATGTTCCTGCCACGCCTTCTTGTCTTAGTGAGGCGAAAACCAGCCTCATCCACAAAAAACTGCCCATGACCCATCTGCCTCTAGCTCCATAAGTCTCTAGACAAGACAAAACTAATTCAGCACAGCAGGCACATGCACAGCACTACAGTGTGCACTTCCTGATTCAGTACCAATGATACTACATCTTACCTGCACATAGTCATATCGCAGCTGTTTTACACGTTCACCGTTTCTTTCCAAAGGTGCTCTGTAGATTTGTTTCATTCGGATTCTGTTGCGAGCAAGAACACGACCTAATACAGAAATGCTCACATTTTGTATGTTTTGAAAGGTGGTGTCATCCTCAATTATGGTCTGCTGAAATTTGCGTAGCCTTATGGAATTATTTGCAATCACCATATTGACTATATGTGTTTCTTGATCTGCAGTGAACATGCTTCCTCTGCCCCCAGCATCTGGTCGTCTAGCAATTCTGTAAAGTAACAATTTCAGTATTTTTACATCAACGGTATTGTTGTGTTTCTCATTAGCATATGGCAGTGCTACAAATCTTAGTGCAAAGTGACTGTACCTACTGATTCTCATTTTGAAATGTCTTTATGATGCCTGCTACAGTGTAGCAGCTCAAGTTGGGCTGAACCCGTTGGCCAGCTTCCCTCAGGGTCATTCCACGGTTGATTACATCGTCCACTATTGTAGCTCTGATGTCATCAGCAATTCTATTTCTTACTCTTCCCCCTCCTCGTCCTCCTCTTGCTCCTCCTTTTCCTCTCCCTCTAACTTCACCTCCTTGTCCTTGTCGTCCTCTTCATCCTACTTCTTCTCCTCCACGTCCTCTTCCTTGGCCTCCTCTAATTCTCACTCTTCTCACTCTTCCTGCTCCCTCCATTGTACTCCACATGGACGGCTTACCTGAAGTTTATTTTTAGTTCTTAGGCGGATTTGCAAAATGTGTGTTACAAAATGGCAAACTGAGTGCAAAGCAGTGTTTGTGCTTTTAGTTTGGCAAACTCAGTGAGTGGTTTTGCTATAAGTATTAATAGTTTTAGAGATTGTGCTATACGAATCACAGTTAGGGTTGGACACTGCTAGCACGGGCGCCCACAGAAACACAAAGCAGGAGATGAAGCATCGAATATGTTTCCAAACCAACTTCATTCTAAGCCAAAGACTAGAAAATATGGTGAAGCATATCTGCCCTGGTTTCACTGGATTCTCTGGTTTCACCTGCACAAGTGCCGAGGTAGGTCTCCCTGCAGGATTGGTTTTCCCTTCGTCGGGAGCAGCGCTGGGCTGTTTAAATCACAGACAAACAGGATCCCACAGTTGTTTATATTTTTAAACCCATTTTGCACAGAGAGGCATTTTTTGAAAAATGTATTGATAACAATGTTGAATATTATTACACAGGAAAAAAACAAATCTCCGTTTTCGGTGATTTGAAACGCCGTTTACGTGTGGACGAAACAGCTGCTATTTCAAAAATACCCGTGCAGGTGCGGACGCAGCGTAAAAGAGCTAGTAGTTTATTTTACTACTACCAGTAATTTATTGCAGATTACTTGTATTTGCTTAATTGTTGACTAAATGTTTGAGGTGTGAAAGAAACCGCAATGGAGCAAAATATGTGTGTGTGGTTGGAGGACGTGTGCGTGCGAGAAGGGGGGGGGGGGGGGGGGGGGCGCAAACATTTTTCTTGTAAAACAAAGGGGCCTAGCAAAGGCCAAGCAAAAAAAACTTTGGGAACCACTGGTTTAGACAATCAGAAAAAACTGTCATAAGAGGTGTTACACAACACTTTGAGACAAGACGCTAATATATATTCTATATACTGTATAATATAGAATCAGAATCAGAATCTTCTGATTCTGATTCTATATTACAGTTTTTCTGAATTGCTAAAACACATTTCTTAAAATCTCATCTCTTTGTCTCAAAGCACTAAACACAAACTTTGAAATTCAAGCTACACCCACATAACCTTCAACTTGTCTTGTGAAGCCAATTATTTGACCCCAAACTATTTGAACGTTTCTCAAAATCAAGCGCTACTGTCAAAAACCACACCAAGCCAGCCAGTTTGCAAACACATCTTAGCAACGATTACACACTACAGAAATAAATACAAAACACTGTGAGATAGCGGGAAAATATTATGTATTGGTTTCACAATGAACAGCATTTTATCAATGTGTTTCTTCCACCATACACTCCCTTTTGAACGCTGTCGAGGAGTTTTTCTCAGCATGAAGATGGAAAGTCTACGACCAAAACCCTTACACACAGGAAAATCTACTTCAAGCATTGAATGGAGCATGTGGTGAGATGTGACTGGAATCTTGCTCGGGCTCGTTACACTGCAAGGGAGACCATAACATGTGTTGTGGGTGAAGTCCTGTGGCTTGACCCAGCACAGAGGCATGATACTTTACTTTCCATCTGCATGCTGCATGCAATTAGAAGCTGGAGATGAGAAGAGTAGATCTTCTTCAGTTGTACAGATACAGTTTGTGTTGTACCATGTTAGGTTTAACCAGAGAGAAAAAAGATGTCCTGCACAGCGGTGACAGAAGTTGTAAAGCACAATCTTAAATCAAATTGTTTGAACTGTGTGTGTTTGTGTTCAGACTTCAAACCAGAGCCCTTCTACCCTCTCCGATCTTAGAAGAGGTTTACAAGTTTGTGGACAAGGCTCAGTGGGCCCAACACTCTAAAGGAGAAGAAAGACAATGCAGGAAATTCCACACCTTGCTTTCAGAAACACTCACTCCTTGGTCTCTTCACAGACATATGCAAAATCAGCACTATGTTAATATGTTCTCTGCCCTCGCTAACTGGTTGTAATTGTTGTAGTTTTATTCATGGTTGTTGCCTCTTGTTTCCATGTCAGTGATCTGGTTTCACTGGTTTTCTTCGTGTGGTTCTGTGGGTTTCTAAAAACTGTCAGATGGAAAATTTGACTAGTTTGATTGTGGCTAACTGACACACACCTCCCTCCCACCTCCTGCACACTGAATATAGCGGAAGCATCATTCAGTGGCTGCAGAAAAGCTTTGTTTCACGATGGGTGTTTTTGATGCAGCAGAGTTTTTATTTCTCTGTGCTCAAACAACAGAAGTGTTTAATTTGTGCTTTGTAAGCACATATACTGATTTTTTTTTAAATAAAATCTCCTTAAATTTGAAAATTAGCTTTTTAACAACTCAAAATGTGGATTTTTAATCATAGCCTACATATTGTGCTTCATAACTAAACATGCACAGAGGAGAATAAACCTGATTCTGTAAGTTGTCTTTTCAATGTTTTACAATCAGTCACTTTTATGCGGTCACATTCAATAATTTGGGATAAAAAGAGATAGAATTTCTTTTTAGTGTCTGATAAACTACAAACTCATCAACACAGAGCCAGAAACTTGAAATGATCATGAATAACACTGATAGCGTGCTCCCATCTCATTGTGACACCGGCTGTCCGGATGGCCCCAACTGACCGAGTGCTCAGTGAATACCTCAGGCAGCAGAAACCCAAGAAAGAGGAGGGAGACGAGGAACCATCATGGAAGGACAGGCCCCTGCACGGTATGTACCACCGGCAGATAGAGGAGGTGGCTGATATCCAGAAATCCTACCAGTGGCTGGACAAAGCTGGACTGAAAGACAGCACAGAGGCACTAATCATGGCAGCACAAGAACAAGCTCTGAGCACAAGATCCATAGAAGCTGGGGTCTATCACATCAGGCAAGACCCCAGGTGCAGGCTGTGTAAAGATGCTCCAGAGACAATCCAGCACATAACAGCAGGGTGCAAGATGCTAGCAGGCAAGGCATACATGGAACGCCATAACCAAGTGGCCAGCATAGTGTACAGGAACATCTGTGCCGAGTATAACCTGGAAGTCCCGAGGTCTAAATGGGAGATGCCCCCAAGGGTGGTGGAGAATGACCGAGCTAAGATCCTGTGGGACTTCCAGATACAGACGGACAAAATGGTGGTGGCTAACCAACCGGACATAGTGGTGGTAGACAAACAGAAGAAGACGGCCGTAGTGATCGATGTAGCGGTTCCGAATGACAGCAATATCAGGAAGAAGGAACACGAGAAGCTGGAGAAATACCAAGGGCTCAGAGAAGAGCTCGAGAGGATGTGGAGGGTGAAGGTAACGGTGGTCCCCGTGGTAATCGGAGCACTAGGTGCGGTGACTCCCAAGCTAGGCGAGTGGCTCCAGCAGATCCCGGGAACAACATCAGAGATCTCTGTCCAGAAGAGCGCAGTCCTGGGAACAGCTAAGATACTGCGCAGGACCCTCAAGCTCCCAGGCCTCTGGTAGAGGACCCGAGCTTGAAGGATAAACCGCCCGCAGGGGCGTGCTGGGTGTTATATATATATATTATATATATATATATATATATATATATATATATATATATGTGTGTGTGTGTGTGTGTGTGTATATATATATATATATAATATTCTGTAACTCTGTAACTTCTGTCGGTGCTGTGCTTTTGGAAACCGAATTTCCCAGAGGAACCCACCCGAGGGATTAATAAAGTTATATCTTATCTTATAGTTAGGGCTGGACCAGGTGACCCTGAATCCTGCCTTAGTTATGCTGCAATAGACGTAGGCTGCCGGGGATTCCCATGATGCATTGAGTTTTTCCTTTCCAGTCACCTTTCTCACTCACTATGTGTTAATAGACCTCTCTGCATTGAATCATATCTGTTATTAACCTCTGTCTCTCTTCCACAGCATGTCTTTATCCTGTCTTCCTTCTCTCACCCCAACCGGTCGCAGCAGATGGCCCCGCCCCTCCCTGAGCCTGGTTCTGCCGGAGGTTTCTTCCTGTTAAAAGGGAGTTTTTCCTTCCCACTGTCGCCAAAGTGCTGCTCATAGGGGGTCATATGATTGTTGGGTTCTTTTCTGTATTTGTATTACTAGGTCTATAGGGTCTATACATAGTAGTTTTCATGACTGTTGAGATTGCACTTAATATCGAGCAGTGGTCTAAAGTGCTTGGAAAGAGTGTCTGGACTTCTTTAAATTGCTTGAAGACGTTTCACCTCAAGCAACTTAGTCCAGATGCTTTTCTTTCCGTAGTCCTTAGACTATGATGACCTGGATGACTGAGAACCTGTACAGAGTGGAGGGTGGGGGGTATTTTAAAGACTGCAGTGGGTTTCAGTTTCTTTCTCTTCTCAGCACCTTTGCTGTGAACCAATGTCTGAATGGACAGATCTGTAAGTCGCCTGTGCTGAAAGCAAAGCCACCATCTTCTTTCTTTGCAGATACAATATCTACAAGGAAGAAAGCCGACATGTTCTCATCAGTGTCCTCAGATTCAGTCTGACTGCAGCCAGCAACAGGAAGTTTTATTGTTTTACTGAACTCAGTTTTTAGAAATTAAATAATTACAAAGTTTTTAAAGGATTCATTTCATTAAAGGACAGTTTGAGAGGCTGAAAACACTCTTTGGTCTGTTCAGCCTTCTTCTTTATACGACTCATGTTAGCAATAAATTCATGTATCAGAAACAGACAGCAGACCCATCTGGGCCTCATTTTGGCAGTTTTGGTACACATGGCTGAGTTACATCACTACCTGTGTTCTGTTGCACCAAACAGGACAGCTGATCTATGAAAGGTGGACCTGTGGCTGAGTTGCAGCAGACTTTCCCTGAATTTACCATCAGATTAACCAAACAAAAGTGCAGATGTGCCACAGTTGGGCAAATTTCTTCCTAAAACACAACAGGGAGCTCCACTGTTGAACTACTAAGTCCCTATAAACACAGAAGTAAAAGCTCCACCAGGTCGTGATGTCACCTCCAGGTGGAGACAGACCAAAGAGCAGCAGGCCAGATACTCAATATTCCTGAAGCACACTGGCAAATCACCCAAAGAGATGCAGCTGAAGTTTGGAAACCTCTGAAGCACACTTGAATACAGAAGAATAAAGACCTGGTCCAGTGTTACAAGACCACAAGAAAAACCTCTTTGCTCCTCCTGAACCCAAGGTTTTATCCCCTGTCCAGCACCCTGGCATAGACGTGTCCAGGGAGGCTGCAGGGGAAACATCAGCACTCTAATGTTTAGATTTGAGAGAAACCTGACTGTAGAAGTGATGAAGAGCAGCTTTACCTCTCGTCTGTGATCGTTTGTTCTTGTCTGTGATGATTTTTCCATAAGTGACGTCTTCAGTTCTCACTGCTGAGTAAACTGCAGCTGGATCAGTGTCTGCACAGTAAAACACACACAGAGGACGTCACTGCAGACAGAACAGCTGATAACAGACATGAAACTGCTGCCACTCACAAATCTTTATATGAAAACTGTTAGGATTATTTTAAAAGTTTTAAATATTTCAACATGAAGTCGAATGTGAGATAAAGGGACCTGACAAAGCAGTAACCTAATGACTAACATGTCAGCTGATCAAAATCACAGATAGACAAACTGTTAAATTATTAACTTTATAAAAGATAAATTCAGAATTTAGATAGTGAGGCAGAACAAATTTAAAATGCTGGTGTCATAAATATGAAAGAGTAAATCTTAAAAGGAAAACCGTGAACAATATTGCAGGAAATTAGTTTATAGTAATTGGAAATTTACAATACAATAAGTATATTTCATATTTAGTAAATATGATAACAGTCTCTGACCTGTGTGAGTTTACAGAAATACTCTTACAAATAACTCACGTGTTTCTTCCTCTATTTAACATTCACACCTCTGTGTTGAAACACCTGCAGATGAAGCTCTTATCGTTTCTTTCTCAGAAACAGTCGCAGACTCGTTAGTGTTAACCACAGACGACAAACACACCGTTCAGCAAACACAGAACTTAACATGGTGTGAAAATCTACAGACAGACTGATATTCATTTGCTGTACATGAGGTGATTGTTGTTATAACTGACCTGTTTAAATGTTATTAATGCTTACAGTCTGCATTATTAGGGGCGTGGCCTATTTATATCTGCCAGATATATTAGATATCATATACCAGATATATCTGCCTGAACTGGACCTCTGCTGAAGAAATTATGTTACTGAGCTCTAATTAGCAGTGCCTTTCTGTTTTTCTCATACAGTCTATGGAGAAGCTTGATAACCAAGCTAGCTAACATTAGCTGATAGCTGATAAATAGAGTCTCTCCTGGCTATAAAAGCTAACATGATGCTGTTAAAAAACCAGTTGATGAAGTCATTCTGGTGTTTTCCATCTTTGATATACAGTCTTTTAAGTTCACTGACCAACATCTTTACTACGACCACACGTTACAGAAACTGTCACTCAAACAGCATCAATATTGCTCTTAGAGCACTGTGTAATCATTTTCCACTAAGCATTTCTTTGAACTCTTAGAAAATATCCAAGTTTCAAGTGATACAATTTTATAAACATCCTATTTTCTCCACACTGGAAAAACCAAATCACCCACCAAAGGTCCCTCGTTATTACTTCTGCTTTGTCTCACAGCCAGCGATGTGATATTTGAATGTATGTGACATCATCTCCTGCAGCTTTATCTGGATCCAATAAAAATTTACAGTGAAAATATTTATAAGACAAACGGAAATGTTATTTGAATGGACACAAAATGTAAACACTGAAACATTAAATCATGATAAATGTGTAGATTATTCAAATCCACAACAATAAAATTAAAACATGAAAGATCAGGAAGTCTGAGTCTCACCTTAAGGTTTCCTGTGAACACATTGTCTCACCAGCACAACCAGTAACACCAGTAAAACCATAGCACAGTCTGATCCAACACATGACAATGCAGGAAAAAGGTAAGAACCAGGTGGAGGTGTGGATGTAGGTGGAGGTGTGGTGGTGTGTTCCCCTAAAATAAAGCAAACAGTCATTAAGTTGTTGTCACATTGTGAATGTTGAAAGCTGCAGAAACACAGACAGGTGAGTGTGTCACCTGTGACAGTGATCCAGCTGGATGGAGACTCTCCATGACCGCTGATGTCACACTTGTAGAGGCCTTCATCAGACCTGGAAACATGCTGGATGGTCATGTGACCTGTAGGCTGCTTCCTGATGAGGGACGCCATCTTTATAGAAAGCAGCTGGGAGGTTGGAGGGAGTGGTCTTTGTTTTACAGAGCAGAGTGACGTCATCTCCCTCCATCACAGGGAGGACAGGACTCTGCAGGATCACTGATCCACCTCAACACAGAGACAAACTACAGCATTTCATCCATTTACACACAGCTTCATCAACACTAACTCCACACACTCAGCTTACCAGTGACTGTCAGGTTAACCATGTTACTGATGGGACCCTCTCTGGACTCACACCAGTAAACTCCACTGTCGTGAGATGCTGCTTTAATGATGTTACATGAAGAACCAGCTGGTTTTCCCCACCCATCTCCACACCGAGTGGTGTTTCCTTTGCTTGTGTTTCTCCTCAGAGTCCATCCAGCAGAGCTGTCGTCCTCCTCACAGCTCAGAGACACAAAGACTCCTTCAAAGATCTGAGAGCTGTTGGGACTCACAGTCAGATGAGCTGTGAGGGTTACAATGAGAAATACATGTAATATAATAGATCTACTGTAGGGCTGCACGATTAATCGTTAGAAAATCGCGATCTCAATTCATACTTATGTGCGATCTCATTTCCAAATGACGATTTAAAAAAAAAAAAAAAAAAAGAGAGAAAAAAAAAAAGACGACGACTGTACCGCATTTTGATCCGGGACGTAATCTGCATGAAAACAAGCGCTCACTCTTCCTGCTCAACAAATGACAAGGGCGGAGCCTTACACCACGTGATACAGAAGCTGTGCCGTGTGATGCCAAAACTAGCAGGGAAAAAACAACGGAGAGCACGTCAGGGAAGACAAGAAAGTGACAGGAGAAAATCCGTCCCGGTCAACCACCCAAACATCAATAACGGGAACCTTATACAGCGTTCCCTATACCCGTCGAACTCCCGCAGGCACAAAGAAATCACGGAGGCTATTACTTACCAAAGATATGGCTCCATCAACACTGTGCAAAACGAGGGATTTAGGAAAATGATCAACACCCTAAACAAACGCTACTTTTGTAACTATTTTTGTATTGTTGCACTACCCACTCCCTGTACACGCAGTGTCGAGCAACGGTGGAGACGGAATTTCAAGCAGTACAACATTTTGCGGCAACAACAAAACGTGAGACATTTGTTGTTTTTATGTTTATTTATTGTTTTTATGTTCAGTCTCAACTGTTACGAAGTTGATGTGCAGTTAATAAGTGCAATAAATATTTATACTGGAAAATAAAATCGTGAGAGAATCGTGATCTCAATTCTAAGCCAAAAAAATCGTGATTCTCATTTTATGCAAAATCGTGCAGCCCTAATCTACTGTATGTTATACTAATAGATCCATTGTGAAACATGAACCCAATCAAGTCATATCAGTGAGCTTTTCTCAGGTTTAAACTGTAACAGAAGAAGGTTACTGACCTTGGTTTGTTGTGCAGCTCAGCAGTGAGATCAGAACTAAAGAGAAATGACACTCAGGTTGATTTGAGGTGAACATAAAGAACAACTCCACACAAACAGCTGACAAACTCACAAACTCGTCTCTTTCTGATGTATCTGCTCAGTGTGTAATCATAAAAATAGCTTGTTGAAGAATGTTATCCATTTATCCACTCTCAAAGTTACACGTGCAGCAAGTTTAGAATCACAGCTTAGCGAAACTTTTAGACTTTAGACTGTGGAAGAAACGCACACAGACAGTAACGAGGCGTTCACTCTTGCTTATATAAAATTCATGCCTCTGCCAGCCGTTTTCCGGGCCTCTAAGTTGGCATCATGGCCTTCGGGACGGCCTCCGGAAAGGGTTCGTCGCCGCCGCTGGCATCGCGGCCTCCTGCAGCATCACCGCCTGCAGCATCACCACTGTCTGGTTCCGCAGCCGTCCCGCTGCCGCCTGGTTCAGCCTCTGTGTCTTCATCCACGCCTGGTCCAGCCTCCATGACGCCGCCTTCGTCTTCATCTGGTCCAGCTCCATCTTTGTCTGGTCCTGCGGTTGCCACACCGACATGAACCAGGACCAGGCGTGGATGAAGACACAGAGGCTGGACCAGGCTGGACCAACCTGACGGCATGGGACGTGTTTTTGCTGTGTTTGCAGCAGACGAACCGTGGTGCTGGGTGGGCTCCTCGGACCCACCAGCTGACTTGGCTTGAAGCCGGACGGGCGACTCGGACGCACCAGCAGACGACACTTGAGGCTGGCTGGGTTCTCCTGAACCCCCAGCAGACGACACTTGAGGCAGGACGGGCTCCTCAGGCCCTCCAGCCGACGAGGCAGGACGCTAGCTGGGTTCACCTGAACCCCCAGCTAACATGGCTTGAGACTGGACGGGCTCCTCGGGCCCTCCAGTGGAGACAGACACTGAAGCAGCAGGTACGGAGACCACTGCCAGTGTGGACACTGGCTGGGACTGAAAGTGTTCCCCAATACACTCAGCAGATGACGGAGGTGGGCGGGTGAACTCACTTGAACTCTCAGGGGGTGCTGAGAGCTGAGACTGTTCTGGTGAGTTCTCTGGGTGAGGCTGCTGGCGCTTGCGTCTTGACCTCTAGGGGTCAAGAGTTGGCTGGTGACTGACACCCAGTCTCTGGGGAGGCCCTAGAGGGAGCAACTGTCTCTGAGATGGCCAGCTTAAGAGAACCAGCAGATGTTGTGGTGAAGTGTGTTCCCTGCTTAGAATGAGACAGTGAGGATGGTGGCCGAATGAACGAGTGGGTAGGCTGCTGAACTGGTGGCAACTGAGCTACAGGTAGCGAAGTTGTAACAGGTGGTGGAGTGGCTGACTGAACTGAGGGCAGCTGACTGAACTGCTAACTGTACTGCTAACTGTGTTACAGGCCCCACATTGAATTGTGGTGAAGGTGTGGATGGGGGATATGGTCAGGAAAAACTGTTTCGGGAAAGTTCATTGCATTAACTGAAGGAACCGATGCAGACGAAAAGGCTCCCCTAACATAGTCATTCCCTAAACTCGTGGTGCTTGACTCAGTAACTCCAGGTTTAGAAAAAATAGCGTGAACACAGTCATTAACCCTGAATGTGGGCTCAGCAAAGGCAGTCTTTGGAGCAATGGCCATGGGTGAGACGGAAAAATTATTGTTATCTTCAGAAGACACACAAAAAATAGCTCCAGAAAACACAGTCACAGAGTCTGACGCAGCAGAAAAAGTGTCCCTTTCACTCACCACAGCCGACTGCTTACATGTCCCTACATCCGGCTGTGGGCTGTCCCTACAGCCGGCGGCGCGAACTCGCTTTTGTCTCGGAGACGGCTCCGATGGACCGAGTAATTCCTCATCCGGCCGGTCGGACGGCACGTCCTCCATTGAAGCGAGTGGGCGAGCGGTAGCGGCGGGAGGGTGTAGGTGAAGCTCGTGAAGAACAAAATTCTGTACGAGCGGATGCAGTGAGTCCAATAACCAGGGGTAACTGGAAATAAGGTGTTGTAGGTTGGCTTCCACAGTGTAAAGAGACGCCTCTGCCTCATGCTCTAACCACTGGTTGATTAATTTAGAAGCAGAGTCGACAACGGCCTCCTGAAGCTCCCTGGGTGGGCTGAATGCCGCTGGATCCATAGCTGGCTGGTCCGTACTGTCACGGGAGTGAGATGAGCCGTATAAAAATAATAAATGAGGATCCAATCGCAGGCAGTAGTGGAGAAGTGAAGGTGGTTTATTGAACACAATGCGCCAGTGGAAAAACGGAAACAGAGATCACACTGAACTATACTGGAGACAACTAAACTACTGAATACGAACCGGAACTGAAACATGCAGCAAGGTGGACAACGGTACAAGATGGTGACGGCAGGGAACACACGGATGAAACATGGTGAATACACAGACGGATCAGCAACTACAAAGACAGAAGACGCGACTTAAATGCACACAGAGAAACACAGGGAGATTACACAGAGGTGGGGGACACAGCTGGGAGTAATCAACGAGACGAGAGGCAAAACTGAACACACTCACATGAGACGCAGACCTTCACAATAATACAGGAACAAGAAACCATCACACAAAGACGCAGACTCGACACTGAGAGACAGAAAATGACACACGGAACTAAACTAAACCTTCAAAAACATGGCAACTCAAAATACTGGGTCAAACTGACCCAGAACCGTGACAATTAATATTAATATTAAGCTTGTATAGGGGGGCGAGCAGGGAATTATATATATAGTAGGGGTGCAACGATACACAAAATTCACAGTTCGGTACTTTGGTGTCACGGTTTGATATTTTTTTGATACAAAAAAAATGTTCATGCTTTTTTAATTTGTCATTTATTAAAATTATAAATAGATATTTTAACTCAAACATACAGTTTTTAAATTTAATGTTGCTTAAACAACAAAGTAATAAAAAATAAATCTGACTGAGAAATCACTCATCTTTTGGAAAAGAGAGTTTATTACAGAGAAATGTCTCTTTCCAAAATAAAAGCTATACTATACGCTTCTTCTGGGCTATATTCTCAGCAGCATATTAAACATATCAGGTCCCCATAAGGAGAATCCTGTGCTAACGGCTGTCTAAATTACTCGGTTAAAGTTTGTAGCATGCGTGCTTGTTGTTTTTGTCTGCTTCCACATGTCTTTGCACTAGGATGATGTCGGCGTCAATGTGCAGTCATATTCGTTGTGTTCCCACTAGTGCTGTCAGCGTTAATCTGAAATGACGTTAACGCCACAACGCGGCAAATCTCCATTAACGAGCTACCCCTGATCGCCCC